GCTAAACACAACTATTTATGCTGTTTCTGTCAGATTTTATCAGTGATACGTATTTGAAATGGTAATATGGCTTTCGTTTTCATGTTATAGTCTCTTCCTATTCCTATATAAGAGCTGGTCGTGTACGACCTGGCAACATTGCCAAGATGGCCGTCGAGTGGACAGACTTTCCTATAATGACTTTGTCCAGCTGTTGTGGGTTTCCTCTCTTCCAATAGTGCACACAAAATTGGCTTGAATATTAAAACCCCCTCTTGTGGTGAGAACTTAGCATGCAGCTTTTTAATGATCCACATATAGCGCTATCATCATTCAAACTGCTAATTTATCACTGTTGATTCATCATGACAGTCAATTTTAATCAGTGATTTTTTAATTGAGTTATTAAACTTATCACATAATCACAACAGCGTTATTAAAGACTTTTTGCATGTTAGTAAATCCTCACCCATAAAAATTTACTCACAAGGCATAATTTTAAGTTTATGATTTTGCTGTAAATAAGTACTGAGTGATGTGTGAAGCAAAGCCAGATGAGTCATTAATGATCTGAACATGAATGCCTGCCACAGAAAACGGGGCGAGATACTGGGAAGCATGGTTCCTTCCCTGCAGGGCAGAGTATTGAACCAGACAAGAGTTTTATCCACCGAACAAGACAAGGCACTTTGTTTTAAAGAGCCTTAAGTAGCTCAGGGCCCAAACAATCACAACTGCACCACAACACAACAGCACACAAACAAGTAAAATCAATGTATAAACTCACTTTAGAGAAGTGAACTTTAAGTGAAGTTTCTCTGCTCTCATCTCACTCAATGATAGAGACAGATACTTAACCTGACATTTTCAATAAGAACTGAGGTCATTTTCATATATCTATCTCAAAGGCACAGAAAAAAATCAGTCTGCTTAATTACAATCGTAGGCAAAAGTCTAGGTGCCCCTGACCAAATGACATGCTTTGTTGATTTTCTAAGTGAAAATAAGTTAACACTCTACAGAGAAGAAACTTCTGCACATTTTATTTTCTGCTGAATTTAGCAAATAAATAGTAATTGTGCATTAAAATGTGGCCTGTGCAGAAGTTATGGCACATTTTATATTTTATGTTTTATTTTTTTCACTAGATTAAATTCAACAACTAAACAGAAATGGTGCACCAAAATGTGCAGAAAATGTGGCATATTTAAGTTTGTTCCCTGTAGCAGATGTGTTAACTTAGTTTCACTTAGAAAATCAACAAAACATGAAATTTGACTGGGGAATACAACTGTATATGGGACAAAGAGAGATCATAAAATGATCATGAAAGAATGAATTGGGACTGTTTTGAGCACAAACCCACATAAACATCATAATGGGACATCAGAAAAAAAAGAACATACAAGAAAAAATGAAGGATTTGTCCCCTTTCAAAGTAACACAAAATGACTTGTCCTTAACTGGCAATACAAATGTGTTAATGGAATAACATCTGTTTTGACACCAAAGCAGCACTAAAAACCTGTCAGAATTCTCCAGAGTAACGAAATAAAATGACAGAATTTCCTTTCTGTTGCAGGGCTGACACAGTCATGGCTATGGCTCTACATCCATACACCAAATCACTTTAAGTCTAAGGCAGCCTGAGGCGGTTTTATATGAGCTGTGGGAATTGACTCTGAGTGGCAAGAGTGTTCAGACAAAGTGAACTGTCCAGTGGCCCCGAGCTAAAAAGCCTTCCTGACCCCAACGCTCACTAATGACCTATGGCCACTGCACACAGAGAGAGATGGACTGCAGAGACTGGGCAGTGCTCCAGGCCTTGATGAAGTGGCACAGCATGAGAAGAGGACAAGAAGTTGAATAAGAGGTCATCCTGTCTCAAACCAACTGTAATGGTCAGACTTTAGCTAATGATAATGAGGACAAGATTTAAAAGTGAAACAGAGTTCTTTTATGAAGTTTATTGTACCTCTCTCCTCGGTTGTCAGTTAAACCAGTGCTTCCCAGCCCAGTCTTTGTCATTCATCCCTGTGTGATGTAAGTTGAGTTGGAGCAAAAATGTGGATCATCTGGAGGGCCCTGGACTGGGAACCACTGTATTAACCCATTTAATCTCAAAAAGTTTCCAGCTATGAGATATAACGGTATAGAATGTTGCTTGTAGTCTTTATTGGATTATCATACTCAAACACAAAGGCAAGCAGTACACACACACACACACACACACACACACACACACACACTATCTTCTAAGCCGCTTATCCTTCTGAGTCGCAGGGGGGAGCTGGAGCCTATCCCAGCAGTCATTGGGTGGAAGGCAGGATACACCCTGGACAGGTCACCAGTCCATCACAGGGCAGGCAAGCAGTAGTTAGTAGTTAAAATTATCAACAGCAAATGTGAGCCAATAGCCACGTTTACATGCAGCCTGATAATCTGTTAATAATCCAACTAATACCAGTCGGAATAGACTAGTCCGGTGAAGGCCATTCTGAATACCATTTCTATCTGATTGAACGAGGTGGGTAATCCTGTAAATAATCAATTAAACAGAAGGATAACAGTAATGTAAACACCTGTATCTGATTACATTCCTAATCTGAAGGTTTAAGTATGTCCTGCACACGTGCATTTGCGTCATAACAGAAACTTATAATGTTCAACATGATGGGAGCCACAAACTGGTCAGCAGAGTATTGTTAATAGTTAGCAGGATGGACGGCCATAAAGCTTGCAATGACGAGCTGTTCAGACAAGCATATGAGCAAATGAACGACAGTGGGTTTACATTAACTATTTCTGAATGTAGCAGGACATGCCGTCTTCCTCTAGCCCCTTCTTTCATAAGCACAAATGAAGTACATTTTCCTAAATCTACCATCATTTTAAAGCAATTTAAACACAAGCACACCAACTGAAAACTCGTGACATACTGCAGCTCGTGTCACTCTGACTGGACTCATGTGATGCTTGTTGTCATGGTAACATCTACACTACATAATAATGTCTACACAATTATGCATGCGCATCATTTTGGATCTGGTTACTTGCAGTGTGCATGTAAATGGAGATTTTTATCAGATACGTAGAGTGTGCATATAAACACCTCAGTCTTAATCTATAACCGGAATGAATTCAATCAAACTGGTGAAAATCTCTGCATGTAAACACAGCCACTGTGTTACTTTAGCAGTCACAAATGACCATTCACATGTTTATATCTCCTGTAACTATGATATAAGCGTGGTAGAACAGTCTTATTAAATACTAATAACTGTCCTTTTGATGATTTTTAAAGACCTTTTATATGTGCCAAATATGACAGTTGTATCTTTATTATAACATGTTTTTCTTACTTCCTTTTGTAGAGCTTTAATGCAGATGTAATCAGTCCCAGGTGCATGCATGAAATAAATACCTGTGGTCATGTGACCGTTTACACCACCCACAAAAACATCTTCATATAAAATCAAGACAATCTGTAATGTAATACTGCTAGAAGTAGAAAACACTTAAGCAAGTCTTTTAGAGTTTTACAAAAACTGTATAATAGTGTGAGTAAATGTAGAAATAAATAAATTAAACTAGGGAGAAAGCACAGAGTTGCTCATTTAACATTTCTGCCTTTAAATCTACTCTTCTCCTTTAGTAATGTATTTTCTTAATCAAATTTACTGTAATATGTAAAGAACATGATCTGACAAAGCTGGCATTTTGTACTTTTTGGTACAGACTACTATTTTGAGCAAGCAAACCTGGAATATCTTTCACACTTTTACTTTACCTTAAATTTTTACTCTGAAACAAATCAATAATAAGCCCTTATCAGACTGATTTCCATTCTGAGTGTGTGTGCATCCAACAATAACCAGCATCGTGCTTCTTTTATACAGGGATAGAAAACATGGTGGTAAACAGAACGCTTCAGTTCTGCATGCTGAGCCTTTTTACTGTACCCAACATCAATGCACACCAACTACTCTGGGGACAGATTTTAATGAGGTAAAAGGGACTAAAGCAATGTCTCTGAATCAACCACCAAAAACACATCACCCAAACAAGGACACACCAATCACAAGCAGAAACAGCGCTTAGCTTGATGAAAGAGGAAGTTTCATACTGGCTTTACTGTACTGGGAAATGTTCTAGTTCTTGACTTCGTCAGCACTGTGAAATAAACAACTAAAGCCCGGGAAGATAAGAGTAAACCCCACCAAAGCTAACAACAGTACCCACAGCAGCTGTTCTAATGCACAAATTACACACAGGGCCAACAAATATGAATCAAAATGTGAGCCTTGTAAATTAAATAAACAAAATGTAGAAACAAACACTTTTGGAGATGTCATTAAGCCTTCATTAAGAACAAAACTATTATTTGTAAGGACCTTATTTCCTCTGAACTCCAACAAAATCATCAAAGAAATGACCTCACTTCGCTAACACTGAGATTAAATGCAACACCGATGAGATCAGACTTTTCTGGCAATTTAAACCTCGACTCTTCCCCATTAAGAGTGAGCCGAATGGGATCTGCTCCATTTAGCGTGCAGGTCAAATGAGATTTGCTCAGAGTGAAGACAGGCAGTTAAGGTTTCTGCAAGTTCACCTGCATCTGCCTGAAAGGCGGGCTGCCGGTGGGAGGTAGATCTGCACCACAGGGGAAGCAGCATTACAGACAGACGCAAGCACTTAGGCATGCAGGGGATGGCGACTACAGATAATTTAGTGGGTGCAGCCAAAGGCTTATGGTTTCTTTTTATTGCCAACTTTCTACCCCCTGCTTCTTTATACTACGTAGCAGCAGGAAACAGCAACATTAAGTGTTATGTGCTAAGACACGGGATAGCTATTTGATTCATTCCATACATAACCCCTACAGTGGACAAAAATCCAGGACATGTGAACATGTGCTGGCTTCAATGCTCCTGAGATTGGAAGTAAAAGGATTAGTGCTGATGTGACACTTGAGTGACAGCTGGAAGACAGAGGAGATGGAGAGAGAATGCACTGACCTCCTCAAACCTGGCTTCATCTTCACAGTTCTCCAGCACCCTTGAGTAAAACGACAGACCTGTGGAGAAAGAGAAAGGTCAGTGGGTGATAAAACCAACATCAAATCAATAATCATCATCGGCCGTTTTCATTTACTGAGGTTGTTCGCTCACTTTGACAGCATCATATACATGTTTTGTAAAGTTCATAGACTAATGACACATACAGGGAAAGGATGGTATGAATGTTTTATACCAGTGACCACAATTTTCATGGTGTTTGGTATTAACACTATATTACTGAAAATGTTTAAAAACACTAACACACTAAAGTTCTTTGAAGCAAAGCCATGAAAGAACTGCTTCTGGTTCCTTTTGATGGATGGAAACTTTTCCAAGAGGCTGTGTTCAATTTGAGGAGGGATGCAAGAGGATGCCACTACCCTGTCAGAAAAAAAGACAAAAATCATCCCTTTTGTTAATCCTCTGGGGTCCACGAACTTGCCTGTGCATCAAATTCAGTGTTTCTATATATGTTTATCTATCTCTGCGGTAATACAGAACAGAAACACGGTTCCAACATTTCCTGAATCTGTAGAGTCGCCCTTTCCATTGCATCTTATCGTGAGATACGGGCCTCACATCCAGAGTTATGAGGCTATGAAGAGGGGCTGAGATACACGTCATCTGCTTCTCACCGTGCGTAATTGGTGGATTCATGTGTCAGTCTATATTCTGTGTGAAACTGACCAATGGACACTCATGAAATCAGTAAGGACTGACCCATCACACCAGAAACCCTTCATTCTTCATTGAGTCAACATCAGAGACATGTGTGAATTAGCATGCAAAGAGTTTACAGCCGCTGAAGTTACTGCAGTGGTTTTGGAAATTAGCGATGAAGATAACAGAGCATTCTAATATGAAACATATGGGTATCTTTATATGCAAGTGCCTTTTAAAGGAGAATTTAAGAAGGAAATTTGAGAAAATGCCCTCAGACCCCAGAGAGTTAAACGACCATCCCCGCTTTCCATTCCCTTTAAATTAAACAGGGGTTCTAGACCTGGGGGTCAGGAAAATGGTGCTACAAGACTCATCAAAATTGTTTTCTGTGCCTTTGATAAGGTATGTGACCTTATCAAAGGCACAGAAAACAATTTTGATGAGAGCACACAGACTCTGCTGAATTGCTCCACCTACAGGCCATGGAGGTCAGGCTAATGTTGATTATGAATTCCTGTTGGGTGAGCTCTTTACTGAGGGAGGGTCTTAATTGAATGCTAAAATTAAAGCATTTATTCAGCATTAGGCAAAAGATTTGTGGTTTGTGGCAAAGTGCCAAGTAAGGAATGCAGGTCCAGTAAGTGAGTAGACTTATTCTGATTATCTGTAGTGTTTTTAATGGGTATACTGGTGTGTGTGGGGTGGGGGAATTGGAAGGTAGGCCCCTTGGTAAAGAGAGGGTGGCAAAATATTTTTTACCCCAAAAAAGAGTCACACTGTGAAAAAGGTTAAGAGCCCATGGAATAATGTGACGTCACATTAGATCTCTATTTTTGATATTTTGTGAGTGAGATTTATAGGAGTTCTTTGTGTAAAACATACAAGTTATGATCAGGGCAGAGCACACACACATACAGAAGAGGTGGTTATGAAGGGTTGTAGGCTTTTGCTTTTTATTGGCTGTGCTGCGGAGTGTGAAGCGCACACCAGTCGTCAAGATTTGTGGTTTTCCCGCCAAATTGGGATAGTTTGTAAATGCATTCAAGGGAGAAAATGTTAAAGTTTTTGCTTCTGGTGGGTGACTTTTAATCAAACTTTGGACTGGAGACTTTTGTTGGAACCGCCCATCCTGCACACCACAGGGAATGCTAAAAATACAGCAGGGCCTGAGGACTTAAGAAAAATAAGTATGATAGCGAGCACTGCCCAGTGAGAGATGCTTCCAGTTAATTAAGCTGAAAACTTGAGCTTATAATCTTTAGGGATCATTCTAATATTTATTTAAATAAAAGGTAAAAATACTACAAAAAGGCAGCTTTGCCAGCTACACCTCCAGAATGAGGTTTGCGAAGCTAACTCAGAGGCATATTTCTGCCAGCAGTGTTGCTAACTGTGATGACCGTTAACATCATGCTCATGCTCAACATCAAATGTTGTTGGTAATTGCTGTGGAGAGTTTTGTTACAGACAATAAAGAACTACTATGTCCAGAGCTCTGGGTCTCTGAGCTAGCTGAGCATTTTTGGTTTATGAGAGGTGTGGGTGGTAGAAGGGGCAACACAATATTATTGGTAAGGAATATTTTTCTAGCCTCTTGGTGCACAGAGATGTAACTAAAATTCAGATTTAAGAGACAGTCAAAAGTCTTTCTATTTTGACAGAAACGATATGATGAACTGTGCTTAATATGATCAGGTGCATCAACTAACGAAATAAAAAGTAAGTTTTAATTTCAGGTTGACTTTAAAGGGCCCATGTCATAGAAAAAAAGATAAATAATGAGAGTTGATACAGAATGTAAACATCATTAAAGTTTCAAAATGCACCATTCATTCTCCAGTCTATACATTCCACATATGAATACTAAACAGCAAAAACAGAAGTTTTTGTGATGTCACGAGACACTGTGACATCCAAGACATTTACATATTTTCTCCTATTCAGCCTACAGCAATTTAGCCTCAGCCATTCATGCTTAGGTTACAGGGAGTATTTCAGATCTGACTGCTTTTTGAACAATACAGGCCAATACTGGGCAGCCAATTAGAACAGTGCTCATTTACACACATCAGTCTTAAAGGCATACTAACACAAACAGCCTGTTTAATTGTATAGGATAATAAAAGGTTGGAAAATGGTCATATAAAAATGAATTATGACTGTTTTGGTACATTAAACTGCACAAACTTTAGATGTCGACCTCAGGGACAAAATAAATTACAAGAAATATGTAGGATATGGGTCATTTAAGAGAGCACATACTGAAACAACTTTCACAGGTATTATATTGACCAACCTTGTTATTATACTACGATCCACTAGCAGCCAACACTAACCAGATTGTTTTCATTAGACAGCCTATTTAAGATTTTGGAATTATAATGATCAATTTGAAGAATCCATGTGGAAATAGATACCATGAATAAGATGCATAACACAGAGATTTTTGGGAGGGATGTTGTTTAGAATTTGGATCTTTCTGTGAGTCCTGGATGTACAATTGTGTCAGTATCTCCAAAAATCAACAACTTAAATACATAGGATATCATCACTACCACAATTTTGTTTACTGTTGAGATTGTAAACTATGTAAATGTGTTGGCAGACAGACTAGAACAATGAGCTATTCACTTCCACTGTGACTTTTGTGATGATAATATGATTATTTTTATTATATTAGAGATATATGATTATTGCTAAAATTTCAAACAAAATGATTATCATTGTTTTATACTGTGGCATATCATTAAATCTAGTAATTCTGTTTTCCTAAATATGTATTAGCATTATAAAAACATAACTACTTAAAGGTTTCAGTGTGTCATGCAGAATCAGTTCTGCAAAAATCCCAGACATACTGAAAAACTTCAGCTGGCTTTCTACTGCTTTCCTCTTTGAGTGTGTATTAGTAATGTAATATTCAGCCCTTGTGAATAAATACATTAATAAGTATATGAATACATCCTTATACTTCAAGTATAAAGAGAATACTTTGAAAGTATATTTTGAAAGCAACACATTTTATAGGATGTATAAGTATGCTGTAAGGAAATACACTTGTGTTTACAATGTGTTTCTTAACATACTGAAGCTTACCTAAGCGAAAGCATATTTAATTGTTATCAATTTAAGTGTACTATTTAGGCCGTATAATTAAAGCAATGACCTTGAAAGTATGCTTTAGTATATTTTAGTTGCATTTTAGCTGCAATATAACACAAACTAATTAGCAGTCAAATACCGGCATGAGTGTACATTTAAAATATCTTTCAAGTTTCCAGTTTAAAACAGAAAAGCACTTTTATGCACAATATTTTCATTCAATTTTTTAAATATAATTTGTCGTTTTGAGTTAAGCTTAGTTATTTCAAAATAAAACATTTAAGCGTATTTTAATTATGTTTTATAAAAGAATACTTAAATGTTTTCTTTGACGAATGTATTTAGGTTAATTTATTGATAAGAAAATATTATATAAAATGCTTTTAATGCACTTTAGTTGAGATATAACTTAGTTAATAGCACTGAAGTGTATCAGTAAATCCAGTAGCACACGTATAAAATGTGTGTATAAAATATATAAGTGTAATAACATTTATGTCTACAAATTACAGTCTATTTAAGTGCAACTTGAATTGTTAAAAAAGTACTCAAAAGCATAACTAAATGCATTTACTAGATATTCAATTATAGCTTAATTATAATTCCAATTAACTTAAGTTGGCAAGTTGTTGCACAATAATTCAATATTACAGTATGTTTAAAGTGTAAGCAATAAAAATAAGTACTTTTTTATATTAAATTCACTTTTAAAAAGTATTTTTATTTCACACGAGAGCAGGGACTGATCTTTTGTAATAAATATTAGAAGTAAACATTTACAAATCAGCTCAGAAAGGTCTACGTTCAGACTTTATCTAAATCTTCCAACAAGCCACAGAGATTAGGACAGATTGTGTATTAAACTGTCTCTAGTAATATAAACACAAAGAGTGGACACAGACAGTTTAATGATGATAACATAGAGGAAGATATCCAGCTGAATTGTTCAATGCAGACATTACTTCCATGGCAATATGAGCTACGTCTAAAATCATTCTAAAACAATTCTGGAACAACAGATTCTGACAGTATTGCGGTAAAAAGCAACAAATAGCCAGAAAAATGATGATCATGAAGAAGATCTGGCTACAGACTGGGGAACTGTTGGCGCTAGTAAACACAGAATGCGAGTGCAAGAGCTAAGCAAACATAAGCTGTCAACACAAATACATACGCATGGCCACTCACGCACTCAAACACATGCCGCAGTAATCAGTTTGCACAGGAAATGAATACTGTAGTAGCAGGAATACGGCCGGGGTCACTGCATCAGAAAACAAATACATTAATCATGAGAAATTACAACACAATGCAAATTAACAAGTCTGAATTTGCTGCTGCTCTTACCAGCTTTGTTGTAGTCTAAGTGCAGCATTTACATTATAAGAGCTTTTTGTGAAATGGATTACAATGCAGGTGGCTTAACAAAAGGAGGAAACATGAGAGAAAACAGATCTGACAGTCGTGGCCTTTTGAAAATACACATAAGTAGAAGAGAAATGTGATATGGTGTCTGCCTTTGTTCTTCCTGAGATCAACTCTTTGCTGTAGTGCAAAGTTGATTTAGATTAGAAATTTCATCCTAGCCTAGTTTGTCCTCTGGAGCCGCATCAGTCCAGGACGCTGCTAAGCTAAGTGCCCTTCTTCCTCTGCCAATGCTCTCAGCATTTGGGTTCCATTGATTCAGTGCGACTAAATAAACGATTCCACCCACCTATGGAACACTGGAATAATAATTACACTTACGCGCCAGTGAGAGAAATACAGCAATCAACCAGCTCTGTGACAGCTGAATTAGACACATAAACTTATGTAATCCTCCAAAGTCTGTGAACAAAAGGCCCTCTAATGATGAAAGAGGCTCCAGAGGCACGGCTCTGTCTCTCTCTGTTTAGCGCACTTCACCATGTGCAGAACGGAGGTAAACATCAAAGAGCTTTTCCGCTGGGAAGGTGAGAAAGAATGCTTAGGAAATTTTGGTGACAACTGAAGAAAGTTTCTTGACTTCAAAGTAAAGAACAGTACAGTGAGAGCAGTTACAATGAATGCTAAAATGCTAGACAATCTTTTGTGCGCAGGCTAAAGCACAAGTGAAGCCTATGATGATGTGGTGCAGTGAAACACATCCAGTAATGTCCCAAGGCAATGAAAGAGCTGACTGAAGAAGTGTCACAGATCTTTAAAGCCACGGTTTGACTACTGTGGCCTTGATAACTCTAACAAGGGGTCGGGAAATGGGGGTCGTTGCATAATACTTAAGATAAAGTTCTAAAAAGGAAAGACGACCCACTTAAACACCACTGACTCCTGGTAATTTAATTAAGCCCACATTTACTTGATGAGAGACAGAGTTATTATTTTGATAATTGAAATGTCCTTGAATTTACATAATTCATTTGTGTTAATTGGTTGCACATGAACAATGTTACTGTAAAACAATCACCGTCTTGCTGCTTTCTTTTCACAATAATTATATTGGTATAACACATTTTGTTCATCTGATTTTCAGTGTAGTTTACTGAGGCATGCACAATTTTTCACTTTCTTTGGACAAACAATCTCAGGGCCTTTGTTCCTTGAATGTTGTATCAAAATGTACATGACGAGAAAAGATGCACAATGATATCAGAATCACATCAGAATCGGCAGACATTTGTTTAAAAAATATCAGACAGATGTTTAGATTGGACCAATATTTCAAACCAATATTGGTCAATCATGAATGTGTTCTTCAGATTGATGGAAAATGGGCTGTAGATGGTTCTATATAGAACCTTTTTTAAATTGGTTCTACATAGCACCCAAAAGGTTTCTTCTATTGTTACGATGTCAAGCTGGTAACAATAGAAGAACCCCTTTGGGTGCAATATAGAACCCTTTTCAAAAAGATTCTATATAGAGGTGTTTATAGCACATTTTTCATCAATCTGAAGAACACTTTCATGATGCAAAGAACCCTTGAATCATGCATAAGGTTCTTTGAGTGTTCATATAGTGTTCTATATAGAACCATTTTCTCTACTAAAGAACCGTTATAATATACAAAATATACACTGCATGTCCAATAGTGGACAACTGCTTACCCATAGTTTTTTCCTGAATTCAAGGGTATTTATAGTAAGTTTGTCCCCACTTTGCTGCAGTAACAGCCTCTACTCTCTGCAAGGCATTGCACTAGATGTTGGAACATTGCTGTGGGGATCTGATTGCATTCAGCCACAAGAGCACTACAGAGTTTAGGTACTGATGTTGTATGATCAGTTCTGGAGCACAAACACTGCTCCAATTCATCCCAAATGTACTTCATGGAGCTCCATCACTCCAGAGAACACAATGTCATTGCTCCACAGCCCATTGCGGGGGGTTGGGGATGCTCCAGGGTGCCACATTCTATTGAAAAAGCTTTTCTGTGGAGATTATATAAGCTGTTTATACAATAACTAAACTGAATTGATTTGATTTAAATGTCTACACACAATATATGATATGTGGACACAATGTACACATTTGCCAATCAGCTAAATTTAGTGGACCACTTTTTTACTGGGCATTTCTCAGAGGAACAGGACATGGCTCAGCTCGGCCAGTGTTTCCTGAAAAAGCTTCCGCTTCAGACAGGGTGGGACAACGTGAGTCGTAGGCTGGGCTGGGGGTGCGGCCGGCAGTGAGCGTGAAAGATGAGGAAGGAGAACAGGAGTGTGGAGCCATTACCAAACTCAAGCAGAGGTAGTCTGTGTCACAATATATTTTGAAGAAAGTTTCATCTGACTATTATACTATTGTGTTTCTGTACAGCCTCCTATTTGGCTTAAATTAAATGCATTAAATGTATCATAGACAAATTAATGATAAATAACCAGAAAGCATTTATATAACATATATATATACATATATATATATATATATATATATATATATATATATATATATATATATAAAACCTCTACAGAGCACACGTCTGCACAATTACTGTGTACCTGCTAAAGTTATCGTATTGGAGGAAAAAACATAAAATGTGGCCTGTGCAAAAGTTATGGAACTTTTTATGTTTTATGATTATTTTTTCTAGTATGTTAACAAATTAATTGTACATAGAAACAACCCTGGTCAGGAATCAAACCCCAGCTCTCCTTGCTTTGAGGCGCTACCCACTGCGCCACCATGTGTATAACATACATCTTTATTGAAATATTAGCAAACAATGGCCAAACACTGATTATTTGAGGAGATGTAAATATTTAGGTTCCACGCTAATCTTACATTACGTAAATGGCATACCATCTTATGTTGTGAAACCTTGCATGTATAATAACCTGATGCAATTTGTCTCAAAACCCTACAAATCTCTCTACAAAACTGCTCCAAAACACCACAAAATACAGTGGTTTACACAAATTGTCATGTACTGACGTTCTTTTAACAACTCCCACTTGGGTTTAATGGGAATAGTGGCGGTCTTAAAATTGTTCTTTCACATAGTAAAATAACAGAACAGTAATCAGGGTGGTCCATTCTGTCATCTTTAAAGTTCAATTAAACCTAAATGTAAAAGCAACCAGGTTTACTTTTTCATCTAAGCCAATGTAACTATCTGTAACAGCAATAAACACACACACACACACACACACACACACACACACACATACAAATTTTTCTTAAAGGAGTTTGCAAACACTGCACTGTCCAAGGTTCTGAATTACATATTACACCATTACATAACAGAGAGAGTGAGAGAGAGAGAGAGACACAGAGAGGGAGAGGCATTAAAGAGAGATAGAAGGAAGAGAATGAGAGAAAGAAAGAATGAGAGCTAGGAAAAGAGGGAAGGACACAGAGATCATGAAGAGGGACTGGAGGAAGACAGGGAGAAAGAAAGAAAGTGAATGAAAGCTGCAAGGAAGAAAAAGAATGGAGAGACATAGAAGAAAGAGAGAGAGATAAAGAGAATGGACAGAGATGGAAGAGGAAGGGAGAGAGAGAGGGAGAGAGAGAGGGAGAAAGAGAGAGAAGAGAGGGAGACAAAGAAAGAATGAATAAAGGGAAATAGGAGGAAGAAAGGGAAAAGCATAAGAGATGATGAAGAGAGATTGGAGGAAGACAGAAAATGAGAGAGAAACAGAGAAAATGAAAGAGCTGTAAAGAACACAAAGAGAGAATGGAGACAGACAGAAGGAAGAGAGTGAGACAGAGAGAATGAAGAGAGACAGAAGACTGAAAAGATGAAAAGAAGAGAGAAACAAGGGGAGAGAGAGAGAGAGAGAGAGAGAGAGAGATGCAGTCTTTTGCAGCAGTCTCTGAAACTAAAGTTTCTCAGTCAGCTTCACTCCTCGCTCTGTCGGCTTTATCAGGTTCTGAAATGTAATGTGTTTCTCATGTTGTTCACATGACCGTGTTGTTCTGATAAAGGAGCATCGTCGCTCTTCCACACAGTGACACTGGGTAACACACACTTGTCTTTAGTTTTGTTTAACGATTTTATCTTGTTTTTGACACTGGATTGAAGCTCTGCATCTAGACGTGTGTCCAAGACAAAAAAGAGCAATGATCTGCAACAACATAGCGATAATCTGGAGCCCAGCAACCCCTAAGATGATGAGCAGAGCTCGTGACTCAGTGGGGAATCAAGGGGTCCCCAACTTCAGCAGAGCAAACCAGCTCAACCATTTCACACACATGCAAACAAAACATCAGCCTATTGCTGATAAAATCGGTACACAGAGCAAGAGAAGCTCCACTGAACTTCAACACACAATAATCAGCTGATGTGAGTGTAGCAGTACCTCGAAACGACACTTTGGCGATCCGGTCCCCTTTTCCACGAAGCTCCGTGACCGTTTTCAGATACACCACTAAAGCCATGACAGTTTAAAACGAAACAGAGAAAACACGGCAAACAACACGCCAGAGAAGTCCTGCACTGAACGTGTTCTTAAACTACACCGAGCTGGCTGCTCCTAAAACTACTCATTTCTCTAATTTTTCTTTGTGATATGAGACAAAATGCTCCCATAGATAACATCCGCTCTGCTCTCGCCTAAAAAGAGCCATAAATAATTAAAGTGCTTTCATTTTGCTGGCTTTACGCTGAGCACGGCGCCTCTGCTCAGAGCCCTCGACTCCTTTAGTACTGATGCGCGCTGCGCTGCTCACGCCGTGCTGTGGGGCGATGATGCGGGCTGCCACCAGGGGGCGGTGTTTAAACGAGAAGATGTCAGAAGCACAACAGTGTTCCAAACTCAGCGGAGTCCAACGGCTTAAACCCACTTATGTATCGCTGGCGCTCACCGTAGCAATCTGTAGACCTGCTTCAAAACCATTGATGAGATCAACCAATGAGCTCTTCACTCTCAAGATGCTTCACAGTGATACTGCTACAGCGCAGTGTTTTGATATAGAAGCTTTTATTTCTTGACCTGCTAGCTGCAGCACTGGTTGACCAGGATATTCACTTCCACTGCTGCTGACCAGCACACCAGAGTACAAAATACAACACATGCTGGTATTGCTGGTGACCAGCTATGCTGTTTTTTACACTCCTAAAACGGTGGTTCTTCAAGGGTTCTTTAGTAAAATGGTTCTATATAAAGTTCTATATATAACCATTTCATGCTTAAATGGTTCTGTGCATGGTGAAATTATACTTCAGACTGATTGAGGATGTGTTGTAAATAGCTCTACATAGCACCAAAAAAGGGTTTTTCTATTGTTATGACGTCAAGCTTGCAACAGTAGAAGAACCTTTATTTGGTGCCATATGGCTAGAACCATTTTACATTTGTAGATTACTAAAATCAGTTAGCTCTAAAGACAACGTTACCATTATTGCCACAGAAACCCAAAACAGGATTCAACTGGCTAGGTTCATGCTAGGCTAAACAATAATTTTTATAAGTATTTATTTAAGTGTTAGACTGTGTACAGTAGACAATAGACAGTAGACAATAGAACAGTGGCTATAGATGGGTTTTAAAAATTGCCCTGGAAGAGCTTTTATGTTTTTAAGCCCTACCTTTCTGGGTGTGTACTGTGGTGGGCGGAGCTGTAGGTAATAGCAGAAAACGTGTAGAGTTAAGAATTGCCACTCAGTAATGTCCTCCGAGTTTGTCAGACACTAGATGGCGCTCCTGAGTGAGTCCAAAATGAATAGCATTTGAGAAAGTCATAGTTTGTAAAACATTTTTATATTGAGGAACGCGCTTATTTCCTGAAGACTGAACAGCATAAAAATGTCAACACTGCTCTTATATTTTTTGGGTGCTTTTGAACTCCAGTTATATGAGTTCATAAAGGTGCCTCATTTACATTAATGACATCACTGAGTGCAAACCAGACTGCTTCACTCAGCCAATCAGCTAATCAGCTCACCAATCAGCACTCAGCAGCAGTAATGCCAAACAATCCCTCTCAGTAGCAGTAACGCTAGCGCCGAAACCCGTTTTGGTGTAGAAAAAAAGAAATATACAGGTATATTTTCTTTGTTTTTTTATTTAATACATCTCTCTACTTTCCAAAATTCAAGGTCCAGGTCAAGTGGTTAGAAACTATTTTAACTTTTCTTTTTTTGGCTTAATTCACCTCCATCCTTTGAGGACTCGCTCGCGGGTGCTCTCTGACGTTTTGCACTCATGTTTCTGATATAACTGGATAAACAGGAAGTGGCCAGGCTCCCCTTAAACCGGCTCTGGCAGCAGGAGATAGGCGACCACTTCTGATTGGAACTCAACCATTGTCATTTACCGTGACGACAAATTCACGAGATCGAATTCACATATTCACATAAGATTAGCTGTTTTTTATATATAAAACGTCATAAAAGGCAACATGAATCCAAATTGGCGCCAATACTGTCAAGTTAACACGTGCGTAACAATGCAGCACGGACTGAGTCACGCGAGGAGTGAGTGGTTGCCAGGCAACTCTGTGTTGTAGCTGTAGGGGAGGCGCTCCGCGAGCCCTGCGCTGTGGTCAGGAGTGAGTCCAGCATGTCAGGCACGACCCTCAGAGGAAATGGCTCTCTCATCACACACAACAACGCCACCTACATTCCAGCGTCCCTGATGCCTGGGTAAAGATTATGAGCTTATTAGTTAATTTTACAGTACCGCAGTTGCAGGCGAGAAGTGCACTTGGCCACCGGGACCACTGACTATCCTGCTGAAAAAGGACCATTAGACACTATTAGGATTAAATCCTAATGGTTTTGCTTTCTAATGGGAATTGGTATAATGGTATAATATTCCAATAGAGACCACTAGTTTCCTCTAGAATACCTTTAGGTCTCATTAGGAAACCATGAAATGCTTTTAGACTCAGCCTTTGGTCACCTGACTGATTTTACATTAGACTGCAGGTGTTATTACAGTTTTGAATATATGACTAATGCTGAATTGTTTAGGTACTGTGGGCATGTGCCAACCGCCAAGTTCCAGTATGGGGTCACCTTTGGAAATGCAACCATCAAGTATTTTCTGGACTCGCGGGGTGCAGCCATGACCCGCAGTGCAAGTCAGTACAGCATGGGTGGCATGTTCCCTTCCATCTCCAGTGCTGGAGGTTTGTTCACTACCCAGCGACCAGATCGGGCCCCTTACAGCCCCTACTGGGCACGATACAACGTAGATTTCGAGCGCCAGCGAGAGATCAAACACTTTGATGAGGTGAGGAGTGGTAATGTATAGTACTCTATGATCTTCATCAGGCTGTTAATGTTGGGGTACTTTTACCACACTGGGTGCTGATACTTCATATTTTGCTTGTGGATTTTATTATTTTATTTAAAGTTTTGGCACAAAATTAACTCCATATGCTAATACCTTGCATATCCAATGTGCAGAATATATAGCTGAAGAAAGAGGCATCCTGCAGATGACCCACACTCCTAAAAATAAAGGTGCCAGTAAAGTGTTTGGAGCGATGCCATGAGTGGTTTGATTTGAGTGTTTTAAAGGACCCCTGTTCTACATTTATCTTGAATTTTATTTTTTGTTACTGAGGCCCACTGATGATGTTTGTGGTTTTATGTAGCTACAACAGCCATAATTCATTTTCAGATGACAATTTTCCAACCTCTCTTAGAATTAAACATGCTTCTCCTTTAAACAGATATATGTGAATGAACTCTGAGTTCTGACTGGCTGCCCTGTATTGTGCCTCATTCAAAAAGGAGTATGGGCTGCAACAGTCCTTATAACTTTGGTGTAAATGGGTAGGGCTAAACTGCGGTAGGCTGAATAAACATGTGTAAGTGTATTGGATTACGTGACTTAAAAAAAACAATGAATTTAGAACAGGCTGTTTTTGCAGAGTAATTGCCATATACTAATAACACAGTACAACCACTTTTAAGCTTTTCTTGATAAGCAGACTTCTGTCAGAGTGTTCACTTCCATTTTTTTTACATCATTTTCTTGCATTGTCTAGCAATACAGTGACGCTATATACCATTTGAAATCCCAGGATTCAATTCCAACAAAGCATTTTATAATCCATTATTCACAGCAGTAATCATCATTTCATTTGCAAGATAAGCACCAAATAGCAAACGCTAGCAAATCTGAGGGTCCTTACTTTCAAAACATGTGATCGTGATAACCAACAAGAGTCAGAGATCAGTTTAGAGATCTATGAGTCAGGCAAAAATAAACTCCTCTATTCTAGCCTCTATCACTCTGTGTCAGTGATTCATACAGTTATTCCGATGGTTGAGAGCGTTCCCTTTTAAATGAGACTATGATCATGACTATAGCTCAAAGTATGTGGAAACAGTGCCCCCTTTACTTCGGGTATGCCGTTTCAGGCAAAAATGGGGCAACAGTTAACAGAGAGGTTAACTGGAGAGTCAGAGGTGGTTTAGGGAATCAAAGACGGTTCTTCCATTGCATCATCCCATCAAAGCACATTTGGCACCTTTATTTCTAGAAGTGCGGGTTAGGAAATGTAGAATAATATAAGAAATATCAAATTAGAAAGGGCATAAGAGTGAAAGAGAAACAATGAGAGATGCACTGCACTCTCAGAAAAAGGAATGAAACTGTCACAGGAGCATTACCCCTCTTATCACTGGGGTGGTACCCTCAGAGGTACATCTCAGTACCTTTAGTCGGGGAGCATAATTGTACCATAATCCACTGAAATTATATTTTCTAATTTGTACTGACTCCACACACCCTGTCACGTTTCCAGCCTTCTTATTGTATTGTTCTGTTTCAGAACATTAGGTTATGAAAAGATATAAATATGTACTTTTTCATCTGGGAAAAACTTATTTTAGGTGCACCACTGGACCTTTAAACCACTGTTGTACCTTTGAGGGTAAATATACATTGTTTGTACCTTGATGAATGAAAAATGTACCTGCACAGCACCTTTATTTCTAACAGTGTATGACAGACAAGAAGGCTTTTGTAGTGAATGCGTGTAGTAGTTCTTACTATTTTTTGTCTTTCAGCTGGCACAGAAACACAGGGGGAACTACAAAGACAAGACTGGCACACTGCAACCTGTCAGTTACTTCATCATTCCGGTGAAAGAGAGTGAGAAGTTCTCCCAGGAAGCTATGTAAGAATCAGATAGAGTTGTCGATGCAGTCAGTAGCCTTAGCACTCCTTAGCTACGTTGATAGACAGATAGATAAAAACTTTATTAATCCCAAAGGAAATTGCAGGGTTACAGCAGCAACATCCAGGACTGTGATGCTTATATACTTTATATTCTCTGAGAGAGATGTGTGTGTTAGTGTGCTCTCAGCCTGCACAACAGGATTCTTCTTTTATACTGTCTGTTGTACTCCAGTCTTCCGTTCTCAGTTCCTCCTGTTGACTCATTGTTTTAGAATATTATAATACCAGATATTATCATTGACTTTCTAACGCAGGTATTAACTACATATTGCTAGGAATCTGTATTGTAACTGCTGAGTATTATAAAACTGCATCTGTTAAAAATAGATTTCATACACTTATTAAATATGATACATACAGTATGTATTTACGTGTAGCGCTTTTTCTTTGTAACTGCCTATAGCCTGCAGTGTTGTGTTAGTATAGTGAACACTATAGCCTGCAGTGTTGTGTTAGTATAGTGAACACTGTGACCTGCTGTGGGTTGTTAGGCACTTGCCTTTAGGACTTCTATTAAACATTTAAGAGTGTTGTGTGAAGAAATAAATAAATAACGGCAAGAAACATTGATGCTGTCACTGCTTAATGACGCAGGAGGGACAGCATGCAGTCCAACAGGTCATCTAAGAGAAGTACATTCTTAAAAATAAAATGAGTCTTAGTTGAGATATAAGACATTTTAGGGAGAAAAAACGTTATTTTGTATAGGACTATTACATTATGTGGGAGGTTCTTTAAAGGGTAATTCAACTACTCTTTTTCAAATTTCTGGTATAAATACATGATTAAAATGTAAATAAGGTCGTTCAGAGTGGTTTGATGTAAAATAAACAGTTCTAGAGAAACTCAAGTCAGAATTGTTCAGAGCGGTGGTGATAGGAATCAGACGTCTACTCTACCCGACAGAATATAAAAACTCAGAAGTGACATGTAGATTCACTGGTCAGTTAGGATAATAAACAAAATGCTACATTTGCTTCGTAGACATCGTGAACCCCTGGTTCCTATCACCACCACTGTAAAGAAATCTGAGTTGGTAGGTTTCTCTACAATGCACAATTTAACACCAGACCACTCAGAATGACTTGTTTACCAGATTAAATTGTGCTGAACTGTTAAAAAATCAGACACCACACTGAAAGGTTCTTCAGGGAACCAAAAGTGGTGCTTTTCTAGCATTACTCCAAAGACTCCTTTCTAGTGCTTTAACTTTTCACCTCTTAAAATCCCAGGCTTTTTACATACTAAGGCTTATTATTCAGGGACTTCAATGCAAACTGTGCTTTTTTTATGCTATAGAGATGTGTAATAAAACTTTGGGTCTGCCTGTGGGCCCTGGCCATTTAAGGGGTTAAAAGTGCACCTTGGTGAGTACGTTTAAAACTGCATTGAAGCCTCTAAGGACATGAATTACTTCTTCAGTTTCCACTTACTTCCATTTTCTCTTTCTCTCTCTGTCTCTCTCTCTCTCTCTCTCTCGCTTGCTGTCACTCTCTGTCCCTCTCTCACACACGCACACACAGATCTAATTGGCCCTTACTCTGAGGTCCCCTAAAGCAGTTAGAGAGCATGGCTGCTGGATGGTTATTTGTAATGCAGGCTTATCTGCTGACACAGTTCTTTGGGTTAACTATGCCTCTGTGCTTTGATATCTCTGGACACATTAGGGCAGCTCTGCTTAGGCTTGCATGTAGTTTATTTTCAGCACCCATAAAACGCACTGGTGGCTAAAGATCATGGAAATCTGCTGGGTTTCATTTTTAGAGCGATTGGAAGTTAGACCTGCTGTTTGCTGTTACACTGTCTTGTGGTTTGTGTTGTACTCATTTACACATACTTACCGTTTCACGCACAACATTTGGTGAAATTATATGTTTTAAGTGAGCATGCTAACACATGCTCTACAGAGAACAAACTCTCCACAGTTACTGTTTATTAGCTGAATTTAACATATTGTGCAATTTGTATTTTTCCAGTATGTTAAACCCAGCAAATAAATAAAAGGGTGCACTGAAATATGAAGTGAAATGTGATATTTAAGCTTGTTCTGTGTAGAGAATGTATTATTTTCACCTAGAAAATGAACAAAACTGGTAATTTGGTCGGGGTGTTCATACTTTTGCGTATGACTATGTCAAATTTTGAAGATTTTGTTTCCCAAATGATACAGTTTCTACTCATATGTGTTTGTAAGTATATGTGTTTTACTCCTTCATATTTTCCTTTTAATTCTTTATTTTCTTTCTGTTCTGTTAGTTCTGCATTTGGACCACTTTACTATTGTTCATATCTGTCACTTTATCTTTATTATTCTTTGTATTTCAAACCAAATGGATCTCTAGAAAATACTAGCCCTATTTTCACTGGGCTGGTAGATGCAGTATGTACTAAGAAATTTCACTGAAGTTCTGTTAATTATATTTTTGGCTAGGCTATTTTTGCTTCTTTGTCAGCCATTAACAACACTTTTGTAAAATAACATTTACTTGAGTATTGGTTTAGGGAACGCCTCTATTTATGTGTTTGTAGAGGCAGCTCCAAGTGCTGAATGCTAAAATTCTGCCTTGAACTGGGCCTCTTCGTATGGATGGATGGATGATTTCAGTTGAAAAATGGCACAAGAACAACATTACTGTATGGCAATTGTAGACTGTTATTAATGAATAAAATATGGATGATATGATCATAGTGACCTTACCACAATGAAGAGGATGTGGTCAGAGGGAGTGCGCCGCTACCAGACCCTTGCCATTGGGCATCAAGACCTCACTGGACGACCGCCACATGAGGGATGTGTTCTTTGAACGCAGATGACCAGCACGACCAGCAGAGGGTGATAATTGCAAAGCTCTGAAATAGAGGAGAGAAACAGCAGGAGTTGTGTGGTGTGTGTAAGCATTAGGGAAGGGTCAGGAGATTTTGTGCTGTTATGTTGTACAATGGGGCTACAGTGTTAAAAAACAAATACATCCACCAGCTGCTATATGATAGGTAGAATCAAAGATGTACTTTCCTTATTTAGTGATAAAAAGTTTGCTTTCAGTGGGAGAGGGAGTGAGATGATTGTGGCCTACATTCTGGACATTAATTATACATGTAGCCTGGCCCAAGAGTGAGCAGAGCTGCTATATTATGCCAGACGAGGGCAGCTATAGCTCTATGTATCGAACTGACATGTTGCATGCATGGAGGTGATCAATCCTGACCAAGAAGTGAATTTATTACTTCAGCCAGTTAAACATTTAGGATTTCTTACCAAAAACCATTAAGTCGCTCAGTTTATTTTCTCTGGAACACAACATGCTTGCCATCACATATAAACACTGATTATGCATGATAGTAAATGGCAGGACTGTAGGCTATCTATCAGCTTACAGCAAGCACACAAAGTGCCGAAACAACGCATGCCGTCATAATCTGGCACCATTTGATCATCAAAAAGCAGATGGTTTAAACTGAGCATGGTTTCCTATCAAATCCTGTTCACTTCAACAAAGCAGGCATCAAACGCAATCATTGGGCAGCTACCCAGAGCATCCATGTGCATTTTTAAAGTGGTTCGTTTAAATAGAATCCAGGGCAGTTATTGATCAGACAAATAACTTTTGAGTGGTCAAAATAGAGTTGCTTATGCTTATATAAGGTAAACCAATTCAAACATCACAGCACCCAGGCATTAATTACTTGGTGCACATGTTTTTGCAGTGATAAAAGTTTGGAGAAGGCTTTGCCTTCTTACTGAAGGAGAATTTTCTTGCTGTTATTTTTCAATCAAACACATAAACAGCTATTTGCCAAACACATATATGGGTATATTTTACAACACATACATTCAAAACAAGTGTAGCTTTGAATTGACATGTTGACATGATTAAAATTTGCTATTTTAATGGCTGCAATAAAAAGTGTTACATCAACACAAGTCTTGCTAAAAGAAGTCAACTGAAAGACAGTGATTGTGTTGATGTAACATTTGATTCATTTACACAGTTAAACGGTTCTTGGCTTGATCCTGACTTTTTACAGTTTTCTACAAAAATCTTTAATATTATGTAGAGATTGTGTGAACTTTAAAAAGGTTCTCTGCACTGTTCTCATTTACCAAGATGGTTTTTCACAGAACCATCCTTTGTAATGTCTTTGAGACATAGCATTTAGTATAGTGTAGTGGCTGCCCTTCATGTGCCAGACTGGGATTTGATTCCCTGCCTTGGCAAACTCGCTACACTATATCAATAAGAGTCCCTAGGCAAGACACCTAACACAACATTCGCCCTCCTCTGTAACATAATTAAAGGGGAAGGGTACCAAAGGTGTTTCTTAAATGGCACTGCTGCAAAGAAAACCATTATTTTTTAAAGTGAAAGCTCATCTGTATTAAAACCATTTTTGAAAAGCTAAGTTTTGATTGCAGGGGTATAATCTTCACTGAGACAGACATGACTAAGCACAGTAGGCCTTTAGATGACCTACATGTCTGGAGATCACAGTCAGCTGATGGGAGTTGCAGGGTTGTCTGAGGAAGGAGAGATTGCATCTGAGTTAAAGTGATGGAAAACGATTTAACACCAAATCATTTTTACAGTGCAAGTAAGATAAGAAGGCGTTCGGGAAATGCACCACTGCTGTGTGACTTGTTTCCTTCCTGTGTGTAAATCATCTTGTATTGTATTTACACTATATGTCCAAAAGTATCCAGACACTTAGACATCTGACATCTTTTAATTAGTCAATTCAGCCACTTTTAAGTGTATCCATTGCTGACACAGGCATTTAATTGCACACATATAGCTTTTACAATCTGCATAGAAAAGCATTGCTAATAGCTCTGGAGCACTGGCACATGGGTGCAAGCTTGTCATGCCCAATGCCAGGCATCAAAGGAGGTCTAAAGCCCCCACAGCATTGGGCTGTGAGCAGTGGAACTGCATTCTTGGACCACGGAGTAACGGACCACCACCCAATATGTTTGGGATGAGTTGGAGTGACATTTGTGATCCAGAACTAACAATTTAATATCAGGACCTGACCAGTAGCCAGTCCATTCACTCACAAAATGAAAATTACTGTTTTTGGTTTTAATCAATGTTCTCTCATTGATATTACTAAACATATGAACAAATGTAAGTCTGCTTAACCAGCATATCCTGCTTAACCCAGTTACGTGGAACAACATTTTTAAGATAATCCAACATTTAACATAAGTTGACTCTACTTGCAAAATGAAGTTGACTTTACTTTTTTATGCACAAAGAATTAAGTAGTTTACACAAAGTCTAATCTTGCATGATCTACATAATAATCTGATACAATTTTTTAAATAAATATCCAACACATCACTGAGTGCGTTGGCATGCACTGAATAATCTGATAACTGCAGAAAATCAGATTTTGTCAGTAGTCCGATCAACATGTTTACATCGGATAATGGGAAAACTTTGGTGTATATGAGTCAGGCATTAATCGGATTTCGGCTTTGCAATGAGCCAATAAACTCACAGATAAAGATATGATGTAAATTTAATGTAAAATATAAACTTCATGAAATGGCTTTTTTTAAAAACATTGCACCACTTTACCAAAAAATATGAACATGCACCATCTAGAAGATGAAGAATACTTAAATCCTTCATTTCAACCAGCATGTAGTTGGTTTCAGTGTCACTCTAAAAGTGTTTTGCTGCCATCTCGCAGAAACACTGCTTGCTTATTTCTGGTACCACCATCTGTGTTCACACATGTGCAGACTGAGAAATCTGAAAGAAATCAGAGTAAGAGTTTACATACGCTGCAAAATCTGATTACCGAGCTAAAATCCAGCTGTCTTTATCAGATTTTTAGTCAAATTTCTAGACCTTGGAAATTGGAGTATGCTGTTTGCATGACAATTTAAATAACCAGATAACTGCAGAAATCTGATTATGATGGGATTATTAAGTGCATGTAAACGCTCTCAGTTTCAGCATTGTTCACGAACACCAGCAGCTCACTTGTTTGTCTATTTTTTATTTTCTCAGCTCCTTTTCCTGACAGCTACACATACTTTCAGACTCATAGTGTTCTTAGAATGAAAGGATGGACAGAAACAGCTGCAGATTTTTTTCAGAACTGAAGCATGAGTGGAGCTTGATTTGCTCCTGTCCCTGAATAACTTGTACTTAATGACCATTTTGGCAGGAAATGAAATAAATAAGGGGCGGTCAGACTTTTGCACAGTTCTGTACATCCTCTTTCGTGCCTATGGAGTGCAGTGTGGTGCAGTGGGTGTTCACACAGCTTCAGCTTTAAACTCTTCCACATGATCATCGTCATAAAAAGCCAGTGGAAGGCCCGTGTGTGGAGACTGACTGCGCTGTTTTGGAGTTTATAGAGTGCAGACTGTGGGCAAACAGGCTCCACCAGCAGCAGCTCGGATACAGCAAGAGGAACTCACCAGGCCTGCGCGCGCTCATATCAGCCTATGAAGAGTGAATGAAGGCAGGATGCTTTGTGACTCTATGAGCTTTTCACAGTACATCCTGCTTTTAATTATGCTCAAGTGAGGACTCGTCCAAGACTAATTCATCAGCCGACCAGCAAGAGACTGAAGTGCATGCGTGCGCGCTCCAGCACCGCCTGAGCCCCGTTAGAGGGAGCCCTAGCTCTGGGAGCGCGCGCTCCCCCCTCTCTCCTCTCTCCCCCCTCCGCGTGTGTAGCGGCCGCGCGCCGCTTCTGCTCCATTAGCCATGAGTCCCGCCGCAGCACGCGCTCTCCTCGCGCTCCTGCTTGCGCTCTGCGCCCTCAGCCCATCGCTCACAGGTAGGAGCCACACTCCCGCGCGCGCACTCACTTTTAACGCACTTCAGCAAAGGATAACTGGAGTAGTAATGGCAATAATAAGGGTTTGGATGGTTGTTTTGCAAATACATCAGATTGGAGGAAACATCTCACTGTGTGCCCAATGGCATGACATTAGGCAACAGTAAGGATTTAGAAATGCTGCATCGGTATTTATTGCTGGTTAGGGCTCTGGAAACTGTGTCTGTGCTGAGCATCCTATTTGCAAATGATTTGTGAGCTGTGCGGATTGCTACTGAGGTTTGTGCAGCAATTCTACTCTTAAGGGCTGAAAGAAGAGCTGCCACAGAGTGCTAGATCAAACCACATGATTGATTGTCAATGGCTAGTGAATGTCAGAGGCACTCAAAGAAAAACAAACCTGTAATCAATTTTTATCTGTTTTTATTTTTACAGAAAAAGCACCGTAGCATGCAAAATGCCTTTAATTTACACTATTTATATTTTGCCAGTTGGTTGCACATTATTTACAAAGTAAGAGACTGAAAGAAATCCATTGTGTTGATGTAACATGGTTTATTTGTGTGCAGCCAATTAAAACATTTGACTCATCTGTAACTGTGGTGTGCAATCCAGCAGAAAGTATTATTGCTTCTCACTCATTATGGAATATGGCCTTAGGTCATAGGTGCAGTCTGAACTGCTTCACTCTGCAACCCATTTAAGATGACAAATATTAGATCATATATCGTATGGTTAAAATCAGACGCGCACATGGTGGTGGACGTGCCAGAGGTGTGATCTAATGTGCCTGAGGTAACGCATCCTCAGTGGCCCAAACTCATGACCCAAGAGGGCTGAGAAGGAGAAGAGGAGAGTTGTGTCTGGCTGAAACTTCTGCACTGGACCAGCTAGTGAATTTCACAGAGATCTTTTTAGTGCCATATACAGGACTGTGCAAAACTCAGAGACCACCCTTAATTGATTTCTCTTGTGGTGTTCAATTGCAGAATGGCCATTAAGTACAAGTTGCAATTTTTTCAAAACAAAAGCAAAAAGTAGAGAATTTGCAAATCAAACAAAGATACTGGTGGTGGAACAATGGACTGTCCACTCCAGAGTCCAGACCTCAACATCGTTAAGTCTGTTTGGCATTACTTGGATCTTCTAAGCCTGCACTTTGGAGGTAGAAAAAATCTCTTCAGATTTCGTTGAAAAGTTGAGTGCAAGTCTCCTGAAAAGAATGGAAGCTGTAATAAAGGAAAAGGGTGGATACACTAAATACTGAAAGGTGTGATATTAGATTTGGTTGTTGGGGCTCCTGTGTAATTTTCAGTTTTGATGCTGAAAAATAATGATTTATAATTATTGACGGTTTTGACTAGAAATTAAATCAGTGAAAGGGTGGTCACTGACTTTTGCACAGTACTATACTGGACAAAGCTGGGATTTGGCGGTGCAGTTCAGCACCGCTAAACAGTGCTTTGGTCAGGCTCACAGTGGTGATGCACATGTTGCGTCCATACACTTTCAATTATGCAGCAAAGACTGGATGTCTTGTACACAGCACTACTGACATGAGGCAATTCATGTGGTCACGTAAATGTGCACTGATCAGGTCTAAGGGCTGTCAGGTCATCAACTTTATTACAAAGAGCATTTTATTGACTTTAAAAATAACACAAGTTTTCACAGCAGCCATATGATTCTATATGTGTCTGTTTTGGAGGAGGTCCCTCAGTTGAAAAATGTACCTTTTTCTTCAATAATGTCAATGGAAAACATCTCAATGGAAATGTTTATGACTATACAAAACTGGAAGTGAACTGGATTTTGTCTTTGTAGGTGAGCAAGTCAACATTTATAAAGTGTTTTCATTGTGCATGGATGCTTTTTATTGTAGCAGTTGCACAGGATCTTTTGATATCAAGAAAGCTGCACTTGTGCTGTCTGTTTTATACAGCTGTCTTTGTGAAGAGGTGTGGATTGTTTTCACAGCAGGGCAGTCTCACCCCTCCCCTGTCGTCTCTCATTGCTCACTAGCAGCTCAACACAAAATCAAAACATTTCACAGAGAGCCAGCACCAACAACGTCCTAGTTAATCTGATAACAGAGTTGCTGGGAGAAACATTGCATTTAATTATATTCATTAAAAACTATCTGAGTTGATTTCCATTTCGCCATGGCCAGAGTGGCCATTTGGCAGCCTACAGAAAGAGGCCACATTTGCTTTCTGTATCAGCAACATTGGGCAATTTTGTGGACATGGATTTAGCCTAAAACTGCAATGTTAATGGTGTTTCACCATTTAGTCAAACATTGGACTTAATCTGGCTCCACGAACCAGGCTCATTATACTCAAGGAACATAACATATGTTATTTTTTTAATATTGAGTCAAAAATCATCTCAAAAATTCAGGGTTGGTTTTTCAGACATGGATTAAGCCCAGTCTTTGACTTAATTGCAGTGTCAGTGGTGAAACACCTTTGAGAAGTCTAGGCCTAGGTTTAATCTGGGTCTGGGAAAATGGCCCATAGAGTTTTTACCTTCAATCCTTGAGAGGAATCATCGTCAAAAAGCAGTTTGCTCTAGAACACTGATAGAAAATGCTCCAAAAAACTGCGCCAAAAAAGCAGAAAAATAAAAGTGACTTCACTGAATACGCGGCTAGGGGAGAAAATCTTCCGCTAAAGAGCCCAGAGCTACGCAAGTGCATCACGACCGCACTGCCTGTCCGCGCTGCAGTAGTGGAGAGGAGGTCTTCAGGTGAAATGGCCACATAAATAGTGGCCATAGTGAGCATGGCAGGTTGTTAGCATTTAGTGCTGCAATCAGCACGTGTCTCAACATATTACAGCAATGCTGAAGAAACTGGAGTCTCCGGCTTTTAACGGGCCGTCTGGGAGCTCACAAGCAGATGTTTTGGACATCGTTTCACCCTTAGGTCGTGAAATCAATTTTGTTCAGACTCGCTCTGTCTCTCTCTCTCTCTCTCTCACTGTCTCATTTTCTTCTCTCTCTCTCTTTCTCTCTCCTCACTCTCACACTCTTTCCCCTGTATCTCTCTTTCTCCCTTGTTGCTCCCTTTCTTTCTCTCTCTCTCTGCCTCTCTCTCTCTCCTCACAGAGGAATTTTGGAAGTGGCCATATCCCGCCGAGCAGAGTTAGCTGCCACGTTACAATAGAGCTCTCGCTCTCTTGCCTTTTCCTCTCTTTTTCTCATTCGTCCGCTCTGTTTTGGAAATAGCTCTGTATATGAGGTCACCCAGTGCAGCCTGGGACTGCCGTCAGCAGCTGTGTGTTACAGTCCTCTCCTCTGAGCTTCTTCTGTATCCTCTGAAATGCCGCGTTCATTGCTCCGCTTCCCTCTGTCCCGTGGAACTATAGTTGGATTAGTATAATCAAAAGAGATTCTTTAATATATTGTGTGGGATTTGAATAGCCATTCGAGGTCAAATATCTGTGTGATTCCCTCAAATTCCCATGGATAACCTGGATTAGAAACTTAGAGCCTGGATGTTCACATAAGCATTACACAACATGTGCCTCACTCAGCAGGCGTTGTTATTAAATTAGCGTGAGGTTTTGTTATTAAATTAGCATTTTGAACAGGACTACTGTTACTAAGTGAACTCCAGGTTCAGCCAATAACAGCAGGCCTTCAGACAGAATTAAAAACATAGGCCTTGCTGGCAAACACGATGGTAGTCCTTCCCAGTGGCGTAAATAGTTGGGGGGGGGGCGTGCAGAGGGGCCCACAGTAAAGTAGAAACCTCACATTGATACTAACACTGCTGTACACCCATAACTAATGAAAGATCTGATTTCCCAGTTACCAGTTAGCTTCCATCAACAATACACAGACAGTCCTGATGTCTATTTGTCTCCCTCTTATTCATAATGCATCTCATCTATTGTAACTGTTTTCAAACAGATCCTTCACCACCTGTAACATGACATATTAATTATTTATTGTAATCTTAAATAGGTAGTCTAACACAAACATTTAAGGCAATCAAATTACACACGCACACACACATGATCTAAGCCGCTTATCCTTCTGGGTCGCAGGGGGTGCTGGAGCCTATCCCAGTGATCATTGGGCACAAAACTGACAGGAAAAACTCACAGGCCAACATTTCAATTATTAAAGACATTTGTTTATGTTCAAAATAATCAGGCTTAACTGGGTTCAGTGTGCTGAACTCAAAAGCTATGCGAAGACATTTGGCAACATGCTGCATTAAGAATATAGAGCAGAACTGAAGTTTCTTGAACAACAAACAGAAACATTTAGTCTATATCTAGTAATTATTTTTACTGTCCTAATGTACTTTTTCCTTAAACGCAGAAATGATGGAACATGTTTTTTGCATTATATAGGGTTCTGAACTGTGAGGTGCTTTCAACACATTTTAAGCTCAAGGATGAGTTCAAATCCCATGACACACTGCAGTGTGACTGAAAAGCTTTTCACCAGCATGCAGCTTTCATTCCAACTCTCAGCAGTGCCCAATTACACCACCCAAATCATCCAGACATCTGCCTGACAGATAAAAGATGTATTGGAAAAAATGAGGCTCAAGGGCTTTTTTTTCCACAACCTCGTACCTTAACACACGTCAGCTGGTGGGAATTCTGGCGGGAAGAAACCGTTCAGTATGTCTCAGGTACGACCTCTGCCAGAATTCAGAGACAAAGAGAGAAAGAGAGAGAGAGGAGAGAAAGAGTGAGAGGGAAGCAATAAGTGAGAGCAGAGAGAGAGAAGTGAGAGAAAAGAGAGGAGAGAGAGAGAAGAGACAGAGGGTGAAGCAAGGATAGAGAAAGAGAGAGAGAGAAAGAAGAGAGAGACTGACAGACAGAAAGAGTAAAAGCGAGAGACTGGCAGAGAGAGAAAGAGATAGAGAGAGAGCAAGAAAGAGAAGACAGGAGAGAGAAAAGGGGAAAGAAACACAGAGACTGAGTGAGTGAATGGGTGAGTGAGTGAGTGAATGAGTGAGTGAGTGATTGAGAGAAAAC